AAAATAAATCAATAGGTACTGGAAATGACATGATTCTCGTAAATCATTGTTTATGTGCGTAAAGTACATCCCAGAGGTACTTTTCAGTGCGTCATTAATTATGACGTCATATGATGAATTAGGTGTGTCGAGCATTATTTCATATAATAATTGAAGAATCTGACAGATTCCAGGATCGTACTTAGCCACAGGGAGTAATCCCGTATATTATAAAAATAAAAAGTAAACAATATTGTTTATTAAATTTTATAAATATGGAAACATTCGAAATTTGACGACAAAATGATTCATTTATTGAATTTTTGTATCTTCTTCTTCTCAAGGAGCTGTCTGCGCGTCGAAAGTTGGCAATCATCACAGCGATTTTTTAATTTTGAGACAGCGGCTCTAAATGAGCCGTTATTACATGGGTTACGTCTCCTTCCTATAGATCTTTTTCTCTGGATTTTTCCTTGCATAATGATCTGGAGTATTAGATATTTATCTCCTCTCATCACATGACCCATATATCCCACTTTTCAGATCTTAATTGTTAGTACTTCTCTTTCCTTATGCATTCATCACATTACCTCAACGTTGGTTTATTCCATCTATACATGAGATCTCTAGTACTCTTCGGTACATCCACATCTCGAATGCCTTCAGTCTCCTCACGTGAATTTTCTTCAGTGTCCACGCTTCCATCCCGTATTATAATACGGATAGCACGTAGCACCTCAGCAGTCGTATCTTTATTACAATATTGTAAGCAAGTTTACCAATTTACCACAGAAGTTTGGTACTGATATCAGTAGTATTCTTTTTATTATCACTTTTTGCTTCTATATATTTTATATATTATGTAACTAGTTGTCAGTAAGAATTTTTTAAAAGAAATGTATCTGAAAAGTTAGTTGCTCCTGCCTCTACATAACAGAAATATGATAAAATATTTTAACTGTATTATTATTATTACTATGTGTAATGTGTAATTATATCTGTGGCTTCGAATAAAAGGGCGGATGTCAATTTTTCTGGATTTTAGGTTAATATCATTTCTATAGTAAGGTCATGAGATAGTTTCATTTAAAAAAATCAGATGTCCATATCTTTAAGGCTTTTACCTTTTTCAAAACATAAAGGTGTAAATAGATAAAATAAGGATAAGTAGTTTAATTACCATTAATAAACAGAAATACAACAATCATATGGTTCTTCTACAATGGGTGAATGAGAAACATTAAGTTTCCGTTTATTTTATATTATTTATAATATTTCTAGCATACAAATTGTTTCAAACATAGTGATATTCCAATATTAACTTAAGTATAATTGATGTGTATTGAGTAATAAGCTTATAAACTACAATCAAAGTGGTTACTATGTGGCCAAATACAAACAATGGCTGATTACTGGAGTTTATATGTTGTGTTTTCATTCCAAGCGACAGATATATATGTATATGTACATAGAGACTTTAACTTACCTTTACTAAACATTCCGTATATACGAGTCCTAATGGTATGTTGGTATTTATTTAAAATCAAGTTGGGTTCACAACTAGTGGCTACTGATTCGCTTACTTTATTGGTATAATCAGAATCTTTTTGTATTCCTTCATTTGCTAATCGCCTTATGGTTGGCAAAGAAATTTCTAACGCCTCAGCAACACGCTGAAATAAACAGTAAATAAAAAAATTTTATTTTCAGGGTAATTTTCAACTTACTTCACGAACAGCAGAAATTGGTAATAATGTTTGTCCAGCTTCCTTTTCCAATTGAAAATATTTAAGTAATTTTAATATTAAAACTTGTTCTTTTTCCGTATATCTTGTCATCTTGTACAAATACAAATAAAACCACAATCACAATACTATGTAAAACAAAATACAAAATAAAATTATACAATACAAATCCCAAAGAATATAAATATATTATATAGCGTCTATATTCTTTGCAATATACTGACCTGAACGACAGCCGTCACTTGCTATTGCAACAATTCGAAAGAATGGCCAGCATGGACGAAGTTTTACGTCAACTGTCAGTAATAGGCGTATTTAATTGGCTAGAGAAAGCGCGCATCTAAATATCAACGAATCAAACGTAGGTTAGGAAAGAACCGCTTATGTATGTAAGCTTATTCTAACGCTGCAATATAGTTCTGTTTAATCACCGAACTACCGCTTTCTCCGTCACATCCAACTTAATGCATTAGAAAGAAATCGAAAAACTGTGACGCACTGAAAAGTACCTCTGGGATGTTCTATACTTTCATAATATTATACTCATTTTACTCTAAAGTATTGATTTGATAAATAAAAATAATATAAAAACATCGTTTTTTTTTACATTAAAGTGCCTCAAAGAATTATAACCAACAATTTGGAGTTGCAATTGGGGAGGGAACCAGCTAACGCTGTGTGATTTCAAAAATTAACTAACAAATGCACGTTTTTTCTCTCTACGCTTGGGCTATTAACCCTTTCAGTAAGGCTTTTTTTTTCAGCAAAAAAAAAAATATTTTTTGCCTAAAATGTAGTTTTTAGTTCATATAACAGTTCATATAACACTTTTTGGACATTAAAAAAACATAACATGTATATATAAAAAATTATTATTATGGGTTCATTTGTACCTTAACTTTACAAATCTAAAAAACTAGCGCATATGAAACATAAAAAAGTAATGTCTTTTCTTTTGAAGGCACAAATAGACATTTCACTTCTGACATTTCCTGTACAACCAACGCTTTTGCATCTTAAAGGTAAAGGTAGCTGTGGGCGCTCTGGAAGATGTCCAACATTATCAAATTGCACCTCAGTAAGAGGTCTAATTTCAATGTTTTGGCGTTTTGCAGCTACTACTGGACTAGATGTATCGCTTGAAGGCCTCCGTTTTAGGTTATTGAAAGAGTTGACTTGTATGAAGGCTTCACCAACTTTCATCCTAAAGTGTACAAGGTCCATGATATCTTTTTGTGGAATTCCTAAAGTGTGCATGTCTCGTTTATACTCTAACCAAGAGTTTATTAGGACCATATCAACTGCATGAAAGATTAGTCAAACAGTCTACTTTCTGCAACGATTTTTTGTTCTGTAAAATGGAATAAGAGCATATGTTTTATCTATGCCACTCATGGATTTATTATACTTTTGTATAACTTCGGGTCGACTTACGTCAATGAAACATTTTGTTTTTTATTCCAACGTTTTACAACATCTTACCAACCCCAACGAAGTTGGATACCATTATCAGTGGCTTGTTATCTAACCATCTGGTTACTACAGAAAAGATAATTTGTTCCGTTGATCCTTTCTCGGATTTTGAAAAATCTTTTTCATCAGTCAGAGGTAGTTTAGAAAATCTATTGATCCTCGCAGTACCAGCAACGAGTATTGATTTTTGATCGAGAATTTGTAAAATGCATGCTTATTAGGTTCAAGTACTTTTGATAATTGCAATACGATAGCTGCACACGCTGTCCATATTTCAAATAATAAGGTTCTATTTCTGTGGTACTACCTTGATCGACTAGAAAATTGTAAATCAGTCCACTTTCATCACCTAACAAATACAGTTTTATACTCCCATTGATTGGTTTTGGTTTTTGATGTAATGCTTTATAGACAATTTCTCTTTGAAGGGACTGCTTGCTAGCTCTGTCTGTGTTCCAGATTGTCAAACACAATGTAAGTCGGGGCGCAAAGTTTTAAAAACGATAACACTTCCTTCTATCTCGAACAGTTTTTCTGGCTCTTTTTAGCAGTTCCTTCTCCGTTTAAATATTTTAATTGGTGGCATTTTTACTCTGAAAATAAAAATAACACTTAGTCATTTTGGATACAATTGTGCCCATTCGAAATTTGAGGTACACTTATATATTTGAAAAAAGTTAAATGTTCAATCAATATAATTCACAATTAGTATGAAGTAACACTACTTTTAAGTGTACGTTTACATATGCGCGCCGCTCGGCACGGCGCGCTGTCGTTTGTAGCATGTTCGTTAGGGTTAGTACGTGTTTGCAAGAGGCGCACAAATCGGCGCACATACGGCGCACTACAGATCCACCTTCTGTCGGTTTTTCAACGAACACTTTGGTGGTTCGCATTACATATTTGGACGGGTTAGTGAAAGGTGTGTTGATTTTTGGCGCGTCTGAGTATTATAATAGTATATTATCTTAAAAATATTTGGTAGTAATGGAGTGGTCAGAAGAAAATATTATCAAACTTATTGATGCTTACCGTGGGAAATCCCTATTGTGGGATCCTCAACATAAGGACCATTTTAAAAAAACCACTTAAAGCCGATGCCTGGAGGGAAATAGAAGCTGAAATAAATATACATGCGGACCAATGTAAAAAAAAGGTGATTTCCTTGTTGTCTTCTTACCGACGTGAAACAACTGGCCATTACCAAGAAAGCACCACTCATCACAGAAATAGCGTAAGTTTTATCGCTTGACAGAGACATGATTATCTACAATTACTAAATGTTCGTCAGTTTTCTTTGGATCGCGGAAGGTTCGTCAAAATGAAAAATTTCAACGAACATTGAACGCGCCACGAACGCGCGGCGCACACAAGGCGCAAGGTTCGCGGCGCGCATTATGTATATGCACCTTAAAATTGCACTGAAATTATAAACCGCGATTGACGTTATTCAAACTGATATTTGAAGAACAAGTACACTTATTTATCTCTACAACACATGCAATTGCCGTCATATTGCTTTTGACATTAATTTTCTTGTAGAATAAAACCATTCCTGTACATCTGGCAAAACATAGAAGTATAATACTTATAGAATGTCAAATTTCTTTAAACTGGTTTAAGTTACATGTTCCTGTAGAATTATATATGCATTCAAATTAATGGGTACAATTATACCCAACACACTGAAAGGGTTAATAATGTTCAGAAATGTACTAAAACAATGGAAAGAAAATATTTGATTATCTAACTTTCTCATTATTTACTAAAGCAATACTTATTCTTAATTGAATTATTTTGTAGTGTCCAGTCTTCTTTGTTTGGTGTTCTCGGACAACTAGCTAGGACGTACACACCATTGTTGATAACCAACCTGGCTGTAATAGCTTTGATGTCTTTAAGACATCAACTAATAACTTTGGAGAACGGATATTGCTCAATTATATTTACTGCTATTCAAGAAGGCGCCAAACCTTACTACGTATTTTGTGCTTACGTACTGTTGACCCGTTTATTAAGGTAATATCTTTATTTAAAAATTGATTCAAATTAAGCTATTATCTATTTTAGTATTCCCTTTTTGCCTGATATTCTGCTCAAACCGGACCATATACATCTGGTAGGCGATGGTGTAGATTTTTTCCTGGTACCGTTGTTTCTTTACACATGCAGTGTTGGATTTTTCTGGATACTGATCGTGTTTTTCAGCGTTTCTTTAATTGCCATGGAATCTACAGTACACAAACTTTCATTAAAGTAAGTATTTTCAAAACGCTAAAATCATCTTGACAAAACAATCGTAACGTAGCGCTGTTAGCGATATAAAGTATGCTACCTGTACTATTTAAAACATTCAATCGAATGTTAAATAGTATAATGTGTAGTTCTTTGATTCTGGCGATGTATAATTAACTATCTGTTTTAATTTCAGGTTGTTGGCTCGGAGTGTTAGTTTCAATATGGCTTGGTCCGACTACCTTATGAGCTATTTACATAAGGTGCCGGTCGTTGTAGCTCTAACGTTAATTTCTTTGTCTCTAACGACGTGTGGAGGACTCGCCCTATTTTTAGGAGCAGTGTTTTACTTTTTAAGGGTAGGTAAATTAATCTTACTACATACTGAACCTTTTAAAAAGCGGTTTGTCAAAAGATATGAATTATATGTTCATATTTTTTGACAAACCTGTGTATATGCCTGAAAAAATTTATTATTTGATGACTGTATTTTAGTTTTTAGATCATTCAGAACTTTCTATAAAGATTAACTTTAAATTGCGTTTAAATTTTTCAAAAATATTTGTTAGTTTTTTCAGGAATGGAAAAAAATGAATGCATTTAAAAAGCATTAAAATTATTTCTTAAGATCAAATTTTCACTTAAATCGCGATGGTGGAACCGGGCGTTAAATCCGGTCCTGATGCGCAGCTCAGGGCAAACCGGCAACGTGGTCGGCCGTCGTTCTCCCGTAAGAAATACATTGCCTATCTTACCTGAACTGCATTCTAACTATGGCTTCTATAGTGGCTGTAATTCTATTATACTTGGCTAAAAGATTCTAAGTGAGCCCTACCACTTATACTGCTATACTATAATGTTATATATATATATATATATATATATTATATATATATATATATATATTATATATATATATTTTAATGTTGCTAATATTTAGTATTGTTTTAGTTAACACAGATGTCCCAAGACTTTGTGGAAGAAATCGTATGGTTTATAGGAAAGAAGATAGCTAGAGGAATCAAAAGATTCTTTAGTCGAAAGAAGAATAAACCAGAGAATCAAATAGTAGCAATAACACCAATAGAAGATACCAATAAACATATATCAGTACAGCATAACATCAAACAAATAACAGGAGCTCAAGGAAATGAATCCGAAGAAGACGTTACGGAAGACGATACAGAAAAACATTTAGAATCAGAAGAAACCGAAGAAACTGATATAGATGCCTTAGAATCAGATATGATAGACAATAGTGTGGAAACCGATGACCAAAAACACAAAATTGTACAAGCCCAGTGTGAATTAAAAGACAAAGAGACAGAAACTAACCCAGAGATTGGAGTTCAAGTGAAACTTGAAGAAAACGACGGGTTTTCTAAAGATGCAGCTACAAGTAAATCGGAAAATGCGTTTACAGAAGAAAATGCAATTAAAAAATACCATTTAAAAGAAAAACCAGTACAAAATATGAGTGATGGTGATATAACCAAAGATTTAAATCTAAATCAAAGTTCAAATAGTAATGAGACTGAAGAAAAAACTAATGTAGATAGTCAATTATTACAGATAAGTGCAGGAAGTGCCGGTAAACACGAAACCAGTGCCAATGAAGTTAAAGATAGATCGAAAGATGAGAGAACCGGAGATCCCGAACTCTCGTCGGCGTATAATGCCATATTTTTCCACTCGACTTTATTCTTTTTGTGGTGTATTATCACGGTTATCAACGTGCCTGCAGTTTTAACGTGGGCTCACAATTTCAAGTAAGTGTTCTTCTTTAAATATAAGTCTAAAAAGTGCATTTCTAATAGACAGATAGATAGATGGTTTATTGGTAATAAATTAATACAAAAGTATTTTTTACAAGTCAGAGAAAATAAAATATATGTCAATATAGTTAATAAATGCACATAAATATAAACACAAAACATAGATACATTGTTTTTAATTATACTGTTGGCAATTACAACAAATTAAAATCGGAAATATAGTACTCCTCATATGTAAAAAAAACATTCACTATAAGGTAACTCTTAATTTTTGCCTTAAATTGATGAAAATTAAGAGCTTTTATTCTAGCTGGCACTAAGTTGTAGAATTTTATGGCTAAATACCTTGAACCATTTCTGGATCTCTCAAGACGGCTAAATTCTGGTATAAGATTATTGTTAAATCTGGTGAGTATAATTGTGAAAATCTACATGCGCATTGTATTGGCTAAGATTTTGTTTAATGTGAACAGACACTGCATAATGTATACACAAGGTAAAGTTAAAATTTTTAAAGCTCTAAAGAAGTTTCTACAGTCTGCTCTATAAGAGAGCCCAAGATAATACGAACACACTTTCTTTGTTGTGCAAAACTTTCACTATAAATATGATAAGAGTGACCCCCAGGAGAGAATAGCATATGTCAGATGAGAATGAAAATTACTATGATAAGCTGTTAAAATAGTTTCTCTGGAAGTCACTTGTACAAGGTTCCTGAAGAGGAAAAGTTGTCGGGAAAGCTTTTTCGATATATTAACTATATGTTGTTCCCAGGTTAATCACTCATTCAAATAATCCCCAGAAACTTCGCTACGGTTACACATTGTGGTAGAGCAACGTTTTCGGCACAAGTGTTATTTCTTAGAGTAAAATTAACAACTTTGTGATTTAGAGTTGTTCAAAGAGAGACGATTAGTTAGAAAACCAATTGAATAAGTTTTTTTTCAGATGTTTGGTAATCAAGGGTGCCGAATTCAGAAGGATGATAGCTTGCATAGAAAGTAGTGTCATCAGCAAATAAAACAGTGTTGACTGTTTCATTTTGAGAGTACACTAGATCATTAATATAGATAAGAAATAATACTGGACCCAAAACCGAGCCTTGAGGGACACCAAACAACAGAGATTGTTTTTGAGAATCACACTGGTTGAAGTGAACATATTGATCACGATTTGATAGATATGAATCAATTAGTTGAATAGCATCACTATGAAAATTATAATAAGGAAGTTTTCTAAGCAGAATACTATGTGCGACACAGTCGAAAGTAAGATATAAAAACGATGCAAGAGTATCAAGATATTTCTCAAACCCTTCCAAAACATTGCTAGTGAAATGATCAATAGCTAAAGTTGTTGTTTTATTTTTTCGGAATCCGTACTGGTTTATGGCAAACAGTTTATTAGATTCAAAATGTAGATTAATTTGATTTTTTAAAATTCGTTCATAAACTTTTGATAAGATGGGCAACAAAGAAATGGGTCGATAATTGTTATAATCATCAATATAGTCTTTATTCTTAAGCAGAGGTACTACCTTTGCAGTTTTGAAAACTAGAGGATAAGTATTACAAAAGATTGATTGATTTATAAAAGTTGTTAGAGGCTGAACAATTATATCTTTAATTGTTTTAATAATTTTTGTGTTAAACCCATCAGGATCTTTGCTGTTACTATTTTTTATTTCTGTAATAGCTAAGTCAACTTCACTAAAGTTCACTGGCTGAAAACTAAAACACGGAATATTTTTCTGTGGTATATACTTTAAATAGTCATCAAGAGTTAGCTGAGGAACCTCATTTATTACTCTCTCAGCAGTTGAGCAGAAGTGGCTATTAAAGCTATCTGCATTGAGTTTAGAATTATCAGTGAGAGAAAACATTTTTATGTTTGTTACCATTAATAAGTTTTCACATACCTTGTTGAGAGTTGCCAGAATTTTTTATAAACCTATCATTTGCATTAATTTTTGCAAGCTTGATGGCTTCCCTGTACTCTTTTCTAAGTTTGATAATAGTACTTCTAGGTGAAGTAACGGGTCGTTTCTATTTATTATAGCAATAACTATAATGTCATTGAACCAGTTTACTTTTTTACCTGGATTATTTTTATTCAGCAATTTAGATTTTTCTGGAAAAAAGATATTTATGGAATTTAATAACACATCAATTAGCATTTTAAATTTTAAATTAATATCCAAATTATCATTGTATACAAAATTAAAGTTGCAATTTAGCAAAATCTGGTTCAGATTCAAGAGTCCTTCATCTGTGATAGGTCTATAACAAACTCTGGTTGCACAATTTGTGGATTAGTAAGCTATCTGAAAGGAAATACCTCTGTGGTCAGATGTGTGAGTGAGATCCACAGGTTTTGTAGTACCATCAATATCTGCGAAAACATTATCAAGACATCTATTTCCTCGAGTATTAAATTTAACTTTTTTTGTAATATTGTAAGATCTAAAAAAATTACAGAGTTTTAAAGCTCTGATATCTGTTTCATTAAAATGGACATTAAAGTCACCCGTTAATTATAACAGGTGTATGAACATTAATTTTTTTAAGAGCTTTAGCCATAATGGTAAAGAATTTGTCTAAATCACCATCTGGAGTACGATATACAGTAATAAGCTGCACATTAGATTTATTTAATAAAATACATGTAATCTCACAATGCTGTTCAGAAGAGAGATTTTCAATATTCAAATGATTAAAACACCTCCATGAGACTTGACCGTCCTGCAAAATCCAGAAACCATACGATAGTCTTTAATATTGACAGTATGTAGCTCATCAGGTAAAAGCCAGTGCTCATTAAGACACAAACAATCAGCTGAAATATCATTAAGCTGAACTTCAAAATCTAGAAAAGAGTTACGTAAAGATTGAGCATTTTAGTGAATGACATTTAAACAATTTGTAAATTTAACATTACTTTTTAAAGAGGATCCAGTTACATTGGCATCATCATAATATAAAACTAAGATCACTGCTGAATGTGATCCTCTCCTATATTTTATTTTTCTCGACATGATGCAGATTGACTGCCCTTTTTATGATTTTGGAACTGTTCCAATAATTGATTCCCACCTCTATTTTCTATTATTAAGTTTTTTGATGATTATCAGTTTCTATTTTCCACAGTTGGTGTTTTTGTTTTGTTTTCGTACAATATAAAGATATAGCAATTTATTATTGTATAGTACAGAGTAGAAACAATTTTGATCAGTAAGAAGTCTATATATACACTGAACGGCAAAAAGTGGCCACCTATAAATTTCCGAAAATAAAAATCCATTATATTCACTCGTTTATATTGCGTTTCAGTTTAAACATTTATTGCGATCATGTATGCTTTTTTTTGATAGTTTTGACGTTTATATTATTTTCAGTAGTCGCTGTTTATCTTCTAAGTTGAAAATATTTAATTAAACAGTAATTTGGCATTTCGAACGTGGATTTCGAATAAGTGAATAATGAACCCTTCGGTACACGGGTGATACTTCGATACACGTAAGAACGGGTTGGGTCTGAGAAGCCCAAAAATTAAACTAAGATTTTTTTTTGTTTAATTTTGTAACAACAGTTTTGCGTTGCATATATTAGAACTACTACTAAAAACAACTTACATACATTAAAAGAAAATAAACTTCTATTATAATACTAAAACTAAAAATATAAAAGAAATTACGTACTACAATATGACCGATGTTTAAAAAATACCTTGTATATAACTTATTCAGTCATTTTATCAATGCATATGCGACAAACCGGTACGGTATGTTCCAAGCAAATAAATTTTTTTACAATAGTGACACATGTATCGAGTTTTACGATCTCTACAAAAAGCACAACGCCTCCTTTTATTTTGCAATTCCTCAGGTGCTTGTACTGGTCCAACACCGATGAGTTTAGCAGCAAGCTCTCTTATATCTCGTGCCAAATGAGGAGATTGAACTCTTTCTTTTATATTGTCCATTACTAACTGAAGACCTAGTTCTTTTTAAAATAAATCGTCTTTTGCTTGTTTTTATATCCAGTGTGTTAGTTGTCTGTGTCACAAATTCATTTATTACAGCAACATCAAGCAATCCATAAAAGATGACCATGGGCCAACGTTTTGTATTTCTTGCGATAGTATAGGAACCTTGAAGTTGATCAACCATGTCCACACCACCTTTCGTAGAGTTATAGAACGTTATTACTTCAGGTTTACTTTCATCACCCGTTGTCGGATCGATTTGGTCATCATGGTGTAGTGTTGATAACAGAACAACATGTTTTTTTGGCTTTGGTATATAGGACAATATCGTCATATCTTTGGTAAAACCAAACATAGTTGATTTTGGCGTCCATTGTTCAATAAAAATTCGGTTGGGATATGCCTTTTGTTTTTCCGTAGGGTGCCTACAATTGTTAGAGTATGATTTGTCAGTAAGTTTTGTGCGACTTCAATTGATGTAAACCAATTGTCCATTGTGACATTTCGGTTGGATTTGGAGATTGGTTTGCAAAGCCGCTCAACCGTAGAATCGATAGAATATGGATAGAATATGCAGAACTGATAGATTATGGACCTGGTGGTTGTGTACCGGCATAGATTTCTAATTGATAAGTATAGAAAGTGCAAGAATCCACCAAAGAATATACCTTCAGACCGTATCGGTCCGGTTTGTTTGGAAGTTATATTCTAAAACTACAGCCTAAAGGTAAAACCTAAAAACATCTCATCGATAGTGACATATTGGTCAATGGTATAATATTTTAGAAAATTTTCAACTACATCCTCGAATACGACTCTAATTGCTGCAAGTTTGTCTACTTGTTTCCGTTCATCCCTTGTACGAACATTATCTAGGCATAAGCACTTCATAAGAAATCTAAATCTGCGGAGAGCCATCGTTGCCGGAAATATGTCAATGCCCGTACCATTTTTTTTCCAAAACTCAAAAGTTTAGGTTCTACCTCCACGGTAAACTCCAGCTAAGTAAAGCAAGCCAATCAGAGCTTTTAGTTCACATTTATTTGTTAGCCTCACATCGGAACTGTCTTTATATCTCACGAACACACGCTCGATATATACATTAGTACATTCAACAATATGTTTTTATAATTTTGTCATTCAAAAACAGTTTTCAGCATTCCTTTTCGGTTGTGTAAATTTTCGCTTCACGAATAACTCCAGGCAGTTTTGTGATGCTAGTTTTCTCATCTAGTTCTAACATTTTGTTATCCACATGTCTTATTCCATTTCATTCCATCTTTGGTATTGTAATAAAGGTGTTGGTTTGACCCACCTTGTGGAATACATTCTTGTAAGTTTAGTTCGGTGTCTGATAAATCGAATTCAGACTCCGAGTTATGATTACCATCTTCATTTTCTAATTTTTCAACAATAGACTCATCGGAATCTGAATCTTCATAATTTTCTTCCTCGTCGGTTGCAACTTCCTCGTAGAGACATTGCAAACGTTTTACTTCTCCCTCGTAAGAATACATTGTTTCGCTAAGCTCTAAAAACAATGCACTGCAAATTTTGCTTTGTACTTTCATAAAAAATACCTACATTAAGGAACGGGTTGGGTCTAAGAGAACGAAAACAGATATAACATCGACACTATCGCTTCAATACGCATTAGTAACTGAGGGATTATAGCTGGCCATGCCGTCGAAAGGTACCTAGACCGCCAGGACTCGCTGACCGAATAGAGATATTAGAAAAACTGAATGGGCCCGACAGACCTAACCCGTGCACCGCAGGGTTAAGATATGGTGTTATCTACAGTAGATGTTCCTCAAATTATTGCATTACTATAAGAGGGAAGAAGTCAAGTTTATGTATATGAGAAATGTTAGGTATTCTGAGAACGACAGTACGGAGAGCTTTCCATCGCTTTATAGAGACTGGCACATGCTCACGTCGACCTAGTTTCGGTCGTAGAAGAATTACCTCGTAAAGAGATGATCGTTTTATTATGATAGAACTTTTAAGTTAAGAAATCGCCATTGTACTGCATTTGCTTCAAGAAACTGTCTGCAGGAGGTTCGAAATATAAATGTAATTGATAGAACGGTTAGAAGACAACGAAAGAGAACTAATGGCAAGAAGGCAGACTATAGTTCCCGAATGTAGTACCCAGACACTGTAGGAATTGATAAATTTTAGCTCGACATCAACACTGGGATATACAGGATTGGAGCCGAATTCTTTTTACTGATGAATCGCGGTTCTGTTTGGCATGGCCGAGAGAGGGTTTGGAGACGGAGTAATAAAAGTCATGCCTAAGCTTGTATGTCCCAGAAAAGAAAGTTTCTAAACTGGCAACGATGTCGATGCTTTATGGGATTCACATCTCTGAGAATCTACTGCCTACAAATTTGATTCTCAACTATACACTGTGTCGAATAGTAGAAGTCTCCAGAATACAAAAAAAGTCAGTTATTAGTCCTTTATCATGTCGTTTAGGTTTTTAATAGATACGAAAATATTTAACAGTACATTTATACAGTCGTAATTCAATTTTTACAATAAAATTAATTGTATTTAATATTTTTTAGGTATAATACGGTTCTGGAAGCTGATGATTCCTTTATACCAGGGTTTACATTAAGTATTTGTTCCTTAATTTTATGGCAATTTGAGTTACCCAGAACTAACAGGTAAGCTTTACTTTTATAAGTGGAATTCGGGTAATATCGTCCTAAATTGTCGATTCTTTATTTATGTTTTGTTTTTCTATCTCTAATCTTTGTTGCGTATTACATTCCCTGTTTCATTATTTGTTGTAGTTTATGTAAGGTATGGTCATCGAGCAAAAAGACAAAAGAGGGAATCTAATCCTTATGAAAAGGAGACCAAAAAAGTGGCCTCTGATGGCGGACATATCCGGAAATGCGAATGCGCCAAATTTAAATTTTCCGACACTTGTTAACAGTAGCTATATAATATTTTTCTGAATGTGTCTTAGACGAGAAAGTTTTAATTAATTATTAACGGTAATAGCCTAAAATGCGACACAATTGTTAAAAAACTTCAATATAAATAAGATTTCATGTGACATTTGGGACAAACAATAACATAACCCAACTAAATTTGATGTCAAACAAGGAGAGAAACTCTCTTTCCTTGTTTAATGTGGCCTCTAAAGATCGCACTTCCTGTCTAACAATATTTTTGCCCCCACTACCTTTACATTCCCTCTTTTGTCTTTTTGCTCGATGGGTATGGTCAAGTACTGAGACAGATCTATTATATTATGCCGTAATGTTTGGACTAGACCATAGTATATAATAGCCCAATTTCGGTGTATCAGAAGATCCAGTTTAACCGAACCCTTGTCTGTTTGCCTCTGGCCAAGACACTTGGCTCAAAACTGTCTCCCTAACAGTATAATACTTTAAAAGACTCCCATAAAGCCACAAGCTTTCTCAACGATATTTCCTTCATTTTATTTGGCTGTAAATTATAATACAAAATATACCAATGTACAGTTTACTATTACAGACAAAACGTATTACACTATGACAAAGGTGGTTGCCTAACTTGAAGTTGTTTCAAGCGTATTTGTTTTTGAACTTTTGATTAGCACGACGGCCACTACGTACGACTCTAAATTTCCCTTCTAGATTATCCTTAATTTAATTATAGATTTTGAGCTATTTTATTATAGCAATTCCAGTTCAAGAATTTCTAAGTAGTTGGTTGTATTGTGATGACGTATAAATGGCATTGATTACGTTCAATTGACTTTAAAGGAATGTATACAGTGTAGGTAAAAGTTATGGTCGGTATGGTAAAATTTAACAGGATATCTAACGCAGATATAAAATCATATTTTCAGCGAATAGACAAAGATAACAATCATATTTCCCCTTGGTCTCCCCTCCATAAATATTTTTAACACTCATTGCTCATTCGTGAGACGAATAGTTCCGATCAGAGATATTTTACATATTCTCTGGTTCCGATCCTAATATACCTAAAAAGCTAGAGGTGGATCCTCTCGTTTTTTAAATTTTTATCGGAACCGTTTTTCGTAAACTGTAACTAGTTGATTGTTTACCAGTATTCAAATTAGCGAGTACACAAACATATTGGCTATTATCATTTATGTGTATAAGTATTGAAGTGAAAGAACCTAACGAAGGATATATTTCTTATAACTTGAAAAATAAATTAAACAATACAAATAGTACTTACATTTACATGACACATTATTAAATCGCGAATCGTCTAAATTGACATTTAAAAACAAGTTTTTCCACTTTTCCTGTTAACCGTGTTCTTCTTTTATTTAAAATTAAACCAGATTTTAAACATGTGTATCACAAGGAAAAGATTTTGTTACAATACTACAATATTTTATGAATATAGTGGTTAAGTTAGGATATACATGACGATGGTTTTTCCACCACGGGTAATGGACAGTTTTAATCTCCGTTCGAAATTTTTGTGGGTAAATTCATCAGACAAATACATGTCGACTTCTTTTATATCTCTCGATACAGGTGTATGTTTAGATGAGTCACGTCCAATTAATTCATCAAAAATACACCATCGACTTAAGTCATCTTTATCAGTTTCTTTTTCTTGTACTGGTTGATTTTCAAGATTTACTAAACTTATGCAAAGACTCGTTTCATCCGTTTTCCATAGGTGAAGAACCAGCTTTTAAAAAGTTTGCAGGGTGGATTCCTGGATATAAACTGCCAACAAGAAAAACTGTCAGGTTCATTACTTCAGGAATGTTATGTCAAAACTGATTTGATAATAGATAAAATAAAAAGTCCTATTTTCGACAATTCTGCAAAAAACACATTTAAAAAAAAGTACCTTATCTTCAGAAAGGCTTTTAAAGTATTAATTACAACATAACAAAGTTCCCAAACGGCCAATCCAAGATGTGGAAACTAGGTAGAACTTCACCTACTACATGTTAACAAAAATGACCGAGTTAGAAGAGGCAATCCGTTCCACATCGGTATTAAATAATACAGACTTAGCCAGACCAAATCTAAATAAATAACACTGGATTATTTGTTCTCAGCTTTCCCAAATTTTACGGCCGTTTAAAGAAATAACAAGTACAATGAGTGACCAAAAATACTTGAAGGGTAGTTCAGTGATTGTTATGGTACGCTGCCTGCAAGAATCTTGCAATAAAATTTTAGCAAACGGAAATTTAGCAATAAGGTTTAGCAAACCTTACATCCATAGTATCCGACGTAGTACAATTACTAATATCGGATTTAGCAAAAAGATTTAAAGGGATAGAACAGAGTGGCACATTGTTATTATGTAAATTTATGGATTCACCATTTAAAGTGCAGGGTTTTTCTGATAAAAATGAAGATAAAAAAATTAAAGAAAAAGTTAAGAAGCTGGTTACTTCTATAATTAACGAACAAGAAGATTGTACTATTGAAAATCAACCAGTACAAGAAGAAGAAACCAATAAAGATGACTTAAATCCATGGTGTATTTTTGATCAATTAATTGGAGATGGCTCATCTACACGTACACCTGAATCGAGAGTCCATTACAACGGTGGAAAAACCATCGCCATGTATATCCTAACTTAACCACTATTAGTATTGTAAATGTGAACACATGTTCAAAATCTGGTTTAATTTGAAATAAAAAAAGAAGACGGTTAATAAGAAGTAAAGTTGAAAAACTTATGTTTTTGAATGTCAATTTAGACTATTCGCGATTTAATAATAACGTGTAATGTAAATGTAAGTACGAGTTACTATTTGTATTGTTTAGTTTATTTTTCAAGTTATAATAAATAAATCATTAGTTTCTTTCACTTCAATAAATATACACATAAACGATAATAGCCATTATGTTTGTTTATGTAGGTACTCTCTTACTTAAAACTACTTTTAAACAATCATAGTTACTTGTTTACAAAAATTTAAATTTTTAAATGCATTCATTTTTTTTGGAATCCTGAGAAAACTAACAAATATTTTTGAAAAATTTAAATGCAGAATAAAAGATTACATTATTACCGAGGGCCGAAAGTCCCTTAGAATAAACAAAAAGGTTTTTGAATGAGATATTTGAAATTAAAAATCACACTAATTTTTTTTTCACCCCTATAACTTATTAAAATAAACATTATGGAAGTTTTCAGCGACTTTCGGCCCTCGGTAATAATGTATTGTTTCATTCTGCGTTTAAATTTTTCAAAAATATTTATTAGTTTTCTCAGAATTCGCAAAAAATTAATGCATTTAAAAAATATTGGAACGAAATTTTGTGCCTACGCTCTTAACGATAAAACTACCACGACCCACCTCTACTACTCGTTACTCGGTCGGCCAAACCAAACCAGACCAGACCGACGTTGCCAAATAATTATTGTGTATGAATATTTTTTAATGTGGCGTTATTGTATGCAGTTTATTATTTCATATTGAGAATAAGGCACAATGTGACTTTAAAATAAGCTTATTTTGATGTTTAGATTTTTAATTCGGAAATCGTACTTAAAATACGAAACATTAATAAATTTTATTTATATAAAACGATTTCCGAAGTGGAAATCCAAATGTTATATTACAGTTATTGTAAAGTAAACTTGTAGCATATTCCCAATAAAAAAACAGTAAGCTGCCATTTAAATCAATTTCGCCCAAATTGGATTATCTTAGAACATTGTTCAAATGCAAAAAAAAAACAACAGGTCAAATAAATCCAATAAGTTTGGCAACGTTGAACTTCCCCTTTCCAGGCATGCATGTTTGGCGATATAAAGGGCGGACCTAATATACCTCTCTCTTTCTAAACAGCTGTTTCTCACTCCATCTCACGTAAGGTCCATACCGACCATAAACTTTTTCCTATACTGTATATACCTTTTACTACATGCTAATTATTGAATGCGTTTATTTTACAGGAAATGGATGAAAGAACTCCAAAACTTTGTGTTGTTGATGGCGATAATATGTTTATTATTCGCGTCGCTGTCGATCTACAGAATATCTTATATACTGATGCTAACTATAGTTATGGTCACCTTACATCAAGTTTTTGCTCCACAAGAGGATGATAGCGTTAGTGAAGAAGATGATGACGAAAGAACTAGGTACTCTGATCTCAAAGCGAAGATGGAATGATCAATATTAAGATTGAGTTGTCTCTTTTTAAGTTGTTTTGTTTAGTTAGCTGTGTTTGATACACGAATAAACTAACCAAAGAATATAAATTGTGTTTTCTAAATAAACTCCTTAAGCTTTGGACAATTTTTATTTCGAAACCTACTTACAAACCTGACAAATTAAAACTGTAACGTTTCAATGGGTTGATTTATCGTTACACTAAGGTCTGCTTGGTTTTTTTGGCTCCATACTATATTTACACTCCAGACACACTAAATTTTATTCTTGATCCACCAGATTAACATCAGTTTAATTGATTCCGTTCTTAGGTACTTTTTAGTCGCTGAATCAGTATATGTATATAAAATTAATTTCAGGTTTAGAATTTATTCTAAATTTTAATGAGGGTGTCACACATTAAAATAACATTAATTCAGGTTGGAAATCAGTCGTTAAGAATAACAAAAAACTGCAATTAGGATCCAAATTTTCCAAATAAGCAATGAGTTACTCAATACAATGTTATCAGTAATAATTATAAGCTTATTTGATATT